GAGGGCATGGTCTGGAAGGGTGTACCTCCCTCTCTCCACCCTTGATCTGTCTCTGCTTCCTGCCTCCTCATCAGGAGCAATTCTCCTCTGTCATGCCCCTCTGCATGCTCCACTGCAATACCTTCGAGCCATGGACTGGAACCTCTACAGATGGTGAGCCAAAATAAACCTTTCCTCCTTTAAGTGGTGGGTAGTGTGTCAGATGAGAAAGTAATGAACATCCCCGCCCCCTGCAAGATAACTCTGATAGAGTGGGTCTGCAGATCAGGATTGTGAGGCTCCAAGCTCCTATTTAGAAAACCAGGCACAAGCCCTGACTACTTGACCTGCTGCCCAGGAAAAGGCCCTGGAGAGAGCTGTCAGCTACAGCATCTGCTGCCTAATCGGCATTTGGCCTCTTAAAAAAGAAAATCTTTCTGAGTATACCCATGATGGTTGCCATTTGAACCTCTCTGCTTAGGGCATATGGTTTATACAGTTCTGGCTTAAAGTTTCACATGTGGCCTCATTATTATTTTTAGGTGAACTTAAAATAATTCCCTAACCCCTGTACTGGAGATTGAACCCAGGGTCTTCATACTGAGCTATACATCCAGGCCTTTCCTGACCCTTTTTTCCTTTTTAAAAATGGTGTGAAACAATAAAATAAAAATTCACAACAAAATAATAAGAGACTAACAATAGTTAATATGCTGTGTATCGTTATCTTCATTTTGAGATACCAGTCTCACTACAGACACTAAATTGCCTAGGCTGGGATCAAACTTGTGACCCTTCTGCCTCAGCCTCCCAGAGTGCTGGGATTACAGGCATTCACCACCGTGTCTGACTGAAAGTAGCTTTTTCTTTAAGGGCATTAAAACCAACCATTTCTCAGTGACTTCACCAATGTTTAAAAGTTTAGTTTTGATAGTCAGAGATTATCTGCAGAGGTATGACGCTTATTCCATGGAAAGGGCTCAGCAAGTGACAGTGGTAGTGTCTGAAAAAGAGAACAGAGAGGGCAGGAACATAGGACAACCATATGACATCATCACTCCTTGAGTCAAGACCTGACCTCATGTATCGTTGTGGTCCCACAACTCTAAGAACATTGTTTGGCTTAAGGCAGAGACTTCATATGGATTTGCTGGGTGAATGAATAAATTAATGAAATCTGTATAAAATATTGGGAAAGCTGATTTCTAAAGTTCCTTGCTTTTAAGTTTCTAAGTCTGACATCAGTGATCACTTTCCCAGCATCTATTTTTACATTCCCCCTTTCAACATGACTCCAAGTTTTCTAATCATGTGAGTTCTAAGGATTGATCCTTCCTTAAATTCCCACAGTGCATCCTGATCAGTTTAGGAAAGTTAGCATGTCTCAACTCCCTGACTTCAAGGATGGATTCAAGAATAGGTAACCCAGGTCAATTCAGAGTTTGCTTAAAGTGTCACTAGAAGAGATTGTCTCTTTGTCAGCTCAGCTGCTCCTCAGAGAGGAAGAAATATCTCTGGGGCTGTTAGTAGTTATGTGGGGAAAAACATGCTAAGAATGCAGCCAACTTTGGAACTTTGGAAAGCAGAACCAAGAAAGGAAGAGACACGCACAGGATCATGGTGATATTATTTGAGTTGCTGGAACAAGTCATGCCTCAACCCAGTATATCTGGACTTTTTGCTTAAGTCAAAGAAATTGAGTGGAGTAATCTGTTACTTGCAGCCAAGAACACTGAAATTAGCATTAATACTTAAAAATGCCTTCTTAAAGTCAGTAATTAGAAGTAGACTCATTTTCTCTCAAGAATAATGTCATAATTGGGGCTAATCATTCACAATGACTCTAGCATCAAGTGAGTCAAAGTTATGGGCAACAACAGTCAATGAAAATAAAGTCATTGCCATATACTTATATAATCATTGAAAATCTTTAGTTTTTAAAACAAGTCCTATAAGATGATAAAGAAGGTACTGCATCCAGGAAATATATGATGGATTTGATGGTATCAAGTATTTGCTAGAGTTACAATGAAAGTGTGATGGAAGACTACAGATTCCATAAATGATATATTAATGAGTTTGGCATTGGTACCTAAAATTAATTTCTCAAAGGACGACTTACGAATATTCTAAAGAGAAGTTGGTGATTCCTAAGGCTCAGAATGAGTTTACTCACAGGTTACTTGGAACTAAACAAATTTAATATTTTGATAGCTTTGTTGGACTTTCAGATAAATCCCACTGTTTTAGCACATTGTGCATTTTAGAAGTAGCTCATGAAGATCAGCAAGGTCCACAGATTCCTTCTACTAGCAATTCTTCAGAACCACAATCAACTCCCAACTCTTCTGTAAACTCTTTTCTAATTCCAGCAGGAAAAGGAGTAGTATTTGGTTACTGGAATCCATTTACAGTTTAAGCTTAATTGGTTTACATCTCTGTCTTATTAGGCATTAAACTACAGAGAAGTGTGGACCACATTTTATTCATTGTTAATTTCTAATATTTATTCTCTGACATTTGGAAAGTATTTGCTGAAAGATCACATGAATGGCTGGTACTCTTTGGAATAAGATGGAGCAGTGTGAACTTGGTAACAAAATTATGAGGTACATTTATAAGTGATGTCAAATGTCAAGAATTCATGGATGTCAATGAATTCATGTCAAAGAATTCATGGATCCAGGACATTCAAAAGACTGTTTGCTTAGTGGTAATCTGCAGGGCTTTGATAACATGCTTTTGGTTCTGTGGATGACGTATTTCCCTCATTTTGGAGGATCCACATCACCGGGGCCCCTCAAAGAGAGCCTGGATGACTATTAGATGGGTCTAACAAAGAGGAACTTTATATATGCCATTACGTTTTTAATACATGGCCTAGATCGCCCTTCTAGCAAATGTAGTTTTATGATTCTAAAGCAAGTTGAACAAACAACTTAGATCCAACAGTCAAATTTAAGCTCTATACACTATAGTAAAATTAGTATTGTGGACATGTAATTAGCAATGTTTTTGCTAGCTTCCTTAGGACATAAAAGTGCTTTTAAGAGATCAATTGGGTGGTCCAAGGTGACATAGAAAAGGAGGAAATGAATTTGAGCCAATGCCATCTTTTTGCTTCAGTAAAGCTCTCTGTGGTGGCATTTGCTCAACAAATATTTATTGGGTGGCTAATGTATGCAAGGTCCTGTGCATGGCAGTGTGCAAGACACAGGAAGCCGTGGAACCCCCAATACCGCTCAGTACAGATACTTTGTTGATTTAATGTCAGAGCACTCCACACTCCATTAGGAAACAAACAAACAAAAACATCCAATTACTAAGTCATTAGCAGTGCCTTTTAAAATAGAAGATAGAAATGCAGAGCACTGGATTGGAAGAGCCCTTGGAGACCCACACAGCCCCTTTATTTCACAGATGGAAGAACAGACTCCTGTAATGGAGAATGTGGTGTCTCTGTATGTGCTGACACAGAGAGATGAAAGCAAGCTATTTGTGAAGCAAGCTGATGAACATCAAGTATAACATAAAGGTATTTGGACAAAACAAAACAATAACAACAAAAAATGCCTCAATATTAAGCATGGCTGTTTTAATATAGACAATGGGAAGGACATACATTACAAAATTGACAGAAGTCAGCCCTTGGAAGGTGAAGGGGGGACTAGAATATGAGATGAGGACTAGGTTGTGTAGATTAATGGGAAATTTCTCTCTGCCTTTATGTATTTCAATGTTTGTTTTTCTATGTAGCTTCATATTGCTTTTTTTTTTTTGGTACCGGGGATCAAACTCGGGTCCTTGCGCTTGCGCAGCAGGCAGTGAAACCACTGAGCTAAATCCTCAGCCCCTTCATACTGATTTTGTAACAAATACGTACATATATATGTGTGTGTCTATGTATATGTGATATTCATACAGTCTTACATTGCTTAATGACTGGGACACCTGCTGAGAAAGGCATTGTTAGGTGATTTCATTGCTGTGTGAACATCAGTGAACTTACACAAACCTAGATGGTGGACCTTGAGGCTATATGGTATATACTGTCATATCTGGTCTATCATTGACAGAGGTGTAATTATGCAATATACATATATATATATATGCATCTATATATAAAACTTAGATATAAAATATCTTAAATTTTAAGTAAGCAGAAAAAAGTCTTGGAGACATGCAGGTGGTGGTGGGCCAGGCTTGCTTCTGGGTCCTATTCTAGAGTCTGCCCACCACTTTCTGTGAAACCTTTGCCCAGTTTCTTACTCCCCAGCCCCTGAGTTGTAGTTTTCTTCTACCTGGGATGGGGATAATAATGGTGCCCATCTGTGAGAGCTGTGATGAGAATCTGAGATTCAGTGGCTTAGTGCCTTGGCTGGAACAAGGCAGGTTCCCAAAGGAGCACGTCCATAGTGATAGTGATAAGTATTCTCAGTACTGTGTTTAGCAGTGGAACAGAAAGAGCCCCTGGCAGTAAGGGTTTCCAGCCCACCACAGCCCTTCTTTCTCACACTAGAGAATTATCCCCTAATGTGATGCCCAGGAGACAGAGTTGGAGGGCCTAATCATTGCTGCCTTCATGAGGGGAACTGACTGGGCATCTGATGGGCAGACATGCTCTCTGTTCCTAAGGAGTTACACTAAGTGACCAACATTACCTTTTGCTATCAGCTATATTTTCACTGGTTAATGCTATTTGCTATCATAGCCTTAGGATGATCAGCTAAGAGCACAATTCATGGAAGTCAATACATTCACCCTCAGAGACCAGTTGTGCAAAAATAAAAATAAAATAAAGCCCCCAATTCAAGTCAGGGCCATCACTGTCTCTTGGGGATCATGGTCATGGGAGAGGTGCTGACTGAATCCTCTCTGACAAAGCTCTCTCCTCAGTGGGAAAGGAAAGCTTGGGGTTTCAAAGCTGTGCTATGGGAATACTGTGTGCACCGAAACACTGGCAAGAATCATGCACACAGGCTCTAAAGACTTCAGAAGAGATTTGCATTTCATGTACTCACAGTATGATTTCCATATGGGAGGCTGGTATTCTTCAGCATCTAGAATAAAAAGAAAGAAACCACTCCATCAGTCTGCAGCAGCAAACTGTCAGCATGTGTCTTCTCTGGAGGGGGAACAGTCTGACAGCTGAACTTGCATTCCAGTCCCAGGGGACTCTTGGCTCCCTAAGGGACACTTCCGGGCATATGGGAGGGGAATGTCCATGAAAATCTTGTGGATTTAACACCACTTTCTTCAGATCACTTACTGTGACAGAAGCAACTGCTTCCCAATTTTCAGAGATCCCAGTAAATCAAAAACAATTTTAAAAGCAATTAACTTAATTGTACCCTTTAGTAATCCCTTCAAACAGTATTTACTCAACTTGGCATAATAAACATATAATTTATCTCATAGTTTCCCATCAGACCTTTGGCCCATTTACTAATATTTGAGGGCAAGACACAGAGTAGCAAGTATGTAATATTAAATGTGGAAAGTTGTGCAACACAATTCACGGAGCTCCTGAAACACTGGGTCTTTCAGCAGGGACACTGATGATTCAATTGGAATTGTATTATCTCCTTGAATTAAGTGCAACATGGGACTCAGAAAATTTCCAGGAACCTCTCAGCAATCAGAATGTCACAGTGAGAGTTACAGCAAAATGGAGAGGATGGAATTGTCATTCATCAACCAAGAAAACAGGCAATGGAAGAAAATCTTCTTGTTCCATGGACTCAACCATCTCGTGCTGACAGCTAACTTATTATCCTGATGTAGTTATGAGTTCTGGGCTCACAGCTATGAAGCCAGGGGCAAAAAGTTACTGGAGAAACAGTAGTCCCATGCTTAAGGTGCCCTAAGCAGGCTCAGCCACTCGCCAGCTCCAGGCAGGGGAGGAAAGTCTCCTCCCAAGTCACAGCATGTGGACCAGGGTAACCTTAAGAATTCTCCAACTCAGCACCTTTAGATAAGGAATCTCAGCTTTCATCATCCTCTACTCCCAGAGTTACCCATGGTCTGTCCCTACACTGTCCTGTCCTCCAGCTCCTGTCCTGTTACAATTCTTCTAACCTCACGCAGGAAGATAGTTTGAGAATTGTTTTCCCTGAGAAATAAATGTGCTATTTATTAATGAAAACTAACTTAAAAGTGGTAGACTTCCTTCAAATCCTACTCAAGTACATTTGTGCAGATAAATTAAATTATTTTACAATTAATATCTTGCTTTCTGGGGCCTACTGTATCACAGTGCTCAGTTAAATACCTACAAAGATCATTTCATACAAATGAGTATGGATTGCTAGATCTGTGTTGTCAGGAGCCAAGAATGGAATAAGCCTTGTCGGCCCAGTTATAAATACACTTGTGTTGGTGTTCAATTTAGTTTGCAGCATAAATATGGGCATTAAGTCTTAATACTTTCATCAAAGTAAGAGACAAAATCTTAGTGAGCTTTTAACCTATCAATTTCATCCTATATGTGACATAAACTCATTTTAATGGGTTAGCCTGAATGTTTATAAAGAGCATTCAAATAAAATAAATCAACATGCTGAATTTACAATGAAATTTTTTTTGGAGACAGAGTCTCATTATATAGTCCAAGCTAGCCTTGAACCCACTATATAGCACAGGCTGGCCTTGAACTCATAATCCTTCCGCTTCAGTCTCCCAAGTGCTGAGATTAGAGGTATGTGGCACCACGCCCAGCTACAATAAAACACTAGAAAACCCAGACGCTGTATCTTAAATGTGCATGGCATCTTCACAAATATGTTCTCAAAGATAGATACACATACACACACACACATAAACACACACAATACATTGTATAGAAATGTAAATCCCTGAGATTCCAGGTACTCAATGCTTTTGTAAGGTCTCCTTATTTCAGAAGAGATTTATTCTATGAGGCCCATACAACCCCAGACTCAGAAGTGGCCAAGATTGTTCAGCACCTAAGCATCACTTTCTATAAATTGACAGGAGGCCCTAGGCAGAGGAGGTAGCACCCTTCACATAGGTCTTTGAAAAATCCAGATGCTCAATTTGGATGTGTTAAGGGTTTTTTACCTAACTTCAGAAGTGTAAGTTAAATGAATTCTTACTTTTCATTTCAGTACTGTCCTTCTGAGAAAAATCTAGAATTTTGTCTCAACTGAAGCACTGGTCCCTAATTTAACTTTTGTGTATGTCTCCCTGCATGCTCCATAAACACACGTTCCCTTTCTAGTTGCTTCCTGTTGGTAACAACATAGAGGGGAAGGAAGCCACCTAAAGAAACAGGCGACCAGGGTGGGGATTTCGCTCAGAGGTTTTGCTGCCTGCTGTGCAAGCAAGCACAAGGATCCAAGTTTGATCCCCGGTACCAAAAAAAAAAAAAGGAAACAGGAGACCATAACAGTCCCTCGCTTAAAGCCCCCCAGTACCTTCCCTCTGCCTGTGCAGTAAAATAGGCACATCTTCCTGCTCACTTCTGACTCCAGGGCAGACATTTCCCCTTTCCACTTTCCAGCCAGCCACCAAGCCTTTCTCTCTGCTCCTAGAGCAAACTGTGCTCTCGCAAGTCCCTGATCTTTGCTCTTGTGAACTCTCTTCCTGACAGATCTTGGCATGGTTCACTTGCTCCATCATGGAGGGCTCAACTGTCACCTCCTGGAGGCTTCCCCTGCCATCCTTATGCAAAGTGGCCTTCCCCTGCCCCTGTCCCTCTCCTAACATACAGCTTATTTTTCTTCATAGTGTTTATTACCATCTGAAATTATTTATTGATTTATTGGTTTGCTATGACTGGTTTCACCCCACTATTTGTCAGCTTCCATAAAAGGAAGGATTTTTGCCTCAATCACTTATGTGTCACCAGCCTTTAAAAGGATGCTTGACATACAATAGGCATTCAAAATACTAAAACAAAAATGTGTTAAATAAACGAATTGTCTCTCAGAGTGTAATTTCAAATCCTACCTCTGACAACTATTGGCTGAGTAACTTGAAATCAGTTTTATTAAGATTCTTTTGAGCCTCCTAATACTCATCCTCATAAAAATCTTAGAGGCACTGTGAAAATGAAGTCAGATGTTATGTTGCCATTGTAACAATGTAACCAATGTATCTGATGTTCCTGGAATGTTGCCTGGTAATAGCAAGTGTGAATGCAGTCCCCCCAGTGTGCTTGTGCTGCTGTTCCTGAAACATCACCCTGACCTAATACTTCCCAGGTAGCCTGTGCTCATGTCTTTACTCTCTCAGCTGAAGCCAGTGAGCCAGTGTCTCCATTCTTATCCCCAGATCTGGACCCTGTAATTAAGTTCCAGTGCTGTTGTCATGGAAGGTTTTTCTTTGCCATAAAAGAATTCAAATTGAGAGGCCATTTGTCATGCTTCAGTGGTGGATTAACTGTAATTACCTTGGCCTTAGAGACATATTTCACAAACCACTAAAGCACACTGTTAGGAGGCCTTGGTCAAGTGGCAGAGCACACAACATTTTTAGTATGTTGAAATGAATCTTTAGTTGCCTCCAACAATGCACCACCAACGTGGTATTTGCCCCAATGTCACACAATACTTTCGGTGATCTACTTGGATAGACTAACACTTTTAAAAAACCTGGAATAGGTCTTCAAGGTCACTTAGTTCACCTTCAACATTTGGCAAATGAAGGAAATGAAACAGAACAATTAAGTGGCTTCCTGAAGGTTAGAAAACAAGCTAGAGGTACAAGTGGGAGTTTTATCTTCCAGATATTGGATGCACCATTCATCCTTACCAGACAGCCCCTTAATTTACATATATTAAAATCAAGAGAACAAAACTATCATATCGCAGATTTATTACTTTAATTCTTGTGAAGCTTCAAAGGAAAAAAGAAAGAAAGAAAGAAAATTAGTAGTCTGAAAAGTTGCCTAAGTTAAATGGTGGGACACAATTCCAACAATGTACATAGGTCCAGGTGATAAAGTTGGAAAGGGACAAGCTACAAGCTACAGGAAATATCTGCAGCAGAGGTCTGACACTTTTTGAAAATATATGACTCTGTTAAATATTTTAGGTAAATAGGCACAATGCAGAAGGAAGAGAACATTTAAAAAGAGGCTCTGAATTCTTTTTAAAAAATCTATGATTGAATGCAGAAGACAGTAATAATTTTCAGAAAGGAACAAGAATCATCAGGATCAGAGCTTAAAGGCACTGACTAATATGTAGTTAACCTTTAAAAAAATGTGTCAACTTTTGTTTGACTCAGTAGTTTTATCCCTGGGAATCTTATCTAGGGTGGTAACTGAACATGTGTACAGGATATGTGTGATCAGATTTTGCTGCATTATGTATAATAGTGAACCTGAAAGTACAGTAAGGAAAGATGGTTAAGTAGTTATCATCTACCGAGGCATGAAAATGATATTTTGGTCATAGCTCTGTGTTCAAGGGCACAGCCTCTGGAGCGAGTCTCTCTAGGTTCAAAACTCAACTCTACCACTTCCTAGTTGTGTGACCTCAGGCAAGTTATCTAATCGGTTGTACCTCAGTTTCTAATTTATAAAGTGAGAATGATAATACTACCAAACATATGGCATTGTGAGGACTGGATGCGCTAATAAGAATATCATGTTAAGTCTGAAGAGAGAAAATAAGAAATAAGCTTCATGTCAGTAGTCATGTGCAGGAAAAGGCTAAAACAGAAAAGACTAATAAAATAAAATACTCAATCTTATGCCTTGTATATGGTAAACTCTCTATCTGCTGTCATTATTGCTTATCTTTAATGACACGAAAGTATTTATGTTACATTGTTATGTATAATACAAATTAGGTTATATAACAATGGATTAAATATCCACTTTTAAGAAAAAATAAACATTTATATAGAGAGAAATTATCCAAAAGGCCATAAGCTGAAAAGTTGTTACGCCTAGTAGCAAAAAATATGGGGAAATTTTATTTTTTCCTACTGCTTAAAGTCATTTTATAATTTTCTGTTCATATTGCTTGCATAAAAAGGTAAAAGAATGAGAAATAAATGTGCAGCAGTTCTAGAGTGATGTTTTAAAAAC